TTTTGGACTATTATCCTCCTCTTTCTTGTTTCTGCTTTCCATATTTCGATCGTTATGTTCTCCACTAATCATCAGGTGACATATCAATAGATAATCAGTTGGTCGTGCATGGAAAGAATGTGCGAATAGAAAAGAGTTTCTCCTGAGTAAAAATATTCAAAAACCATTGTTATTTTGTGGACTGTACGTCAATATGAAACAGAACAACCTATTAGGAGTCTGAAAGTGAGGAACAACAAATTATTTTTCAAACAGTTATTAAAAGGACTAATATCTGTATTTCTTAAATCAGACCAGCCAATCTGACAAAACAGTTTTGCAAAATTGCAGTTGAAATATGTAAATAAACGAAAAAAGCACAGGATGGAACTTGCACAGTGTACAGATATTGGCTGTTAGACTCAAGCCCAAGCAAACGATTTAAAAGTTTTTATATCAGCTACAAAAAAAAATTCAAACTTGTCTACAGTACATTTTACAGAATGTACTGAATATGAAAAAAGTTTTTGGTCAAGGAATAAAAAAAACAAAAAAAAAACATCTTCATCTGCTGGAATCTTGAATAGGTTACTTTTTGGTAGACCTGGTCCTGGCATTTAACCCCAGATTAAATTTTCACCATCATTGTACACTCTATGTCACCTGATGATAATAGGAGAACAGCTCGATCGAAATGTTGAGAAAACAAAACCAATAAAAATGAGGATAAAAGTCCAGAGATAAAGTTGATAGATAAGAATAATTCCCCCACCCTACTTATTCTCAATTCCCCAAATATCCATCAGCCAACCTGACTGACTTCACAGTTTTTGTGATAGGGTACAATGATTCTTTATGACATACCCTGCTGTGTATATGTGTGTGTGTATATATGTGTGCTTATATATATCGCTATCTCTCTCTCCTTTCATCTCCAAACAAAAACTGAAAGCTTTCCAGACTACAGACCAGGGTAGATGGTCTGCCACAGCAGGGTGCTCATTGGTGTGTACTCTTTAATATTCTTGCACGACGTCGGCTTCAGGAAATTATTCCTCACGGCTTTATGCGCTCTTCTATGGTTCTGCATTTCCTCTATGGTGGCAAACTGCTTTGGACAGAGGTCACACTGCAAAGGTGCACTAGGCAAGTGCGTTCGTCGGTGAATTTGTAATTCATCTCGTTCAGCAAACTGCTGCATGCAAATGTCACAATGGAATGGTTTCTCCATTGCTGTTGCATGTACATGTTTCTTGTGGGCCTGCAGCTGTGCTTTCCGTACAAATTGCTCTGTACAAAGGTCGCAATGGAATGGCTTCTCACCAGTGTGGCTGCGTATATGGATCTGCAGCTTGTCTTTACGGGCAAACTGCTTTGGACACAGCTCACAGTGGAAGGGTTTTTCGCCAGTATGGATGCGCCTATGGATTTTTAGATAGCAACGCTGCACAAACTGCTTGGGGCAGAGGTCGCAGCGGAATGGCTTTTCACCTGTGTGTGTCTTGCGGTGTATCTGCAGACGATCACTGCGGGCAAACTGTTTGGAGCACATGTCGCAGTGGAACGGTTTTTCTCCAGTGTGTGTCCTCTCATGGATTAGCAGTTTGTCCTTCTGGACAAACTGCTTGGAACAGTAGCTGCAGTGGAAGAGCTTCTCTCCAGTGTGCGTCCTCCGATGCAGCTGCAGCTTGTCACCTCGGGAAAATTGCTTTGAGCAGAACTCACAGTGGAACGGCTTCTCGCCAGTGTGGATCCGCTGGTGGATCTTCAACTTGTTCTTCTGGACAAACTGCTTTTCACAGAGCGTACAGCGAAATGGGCGCTCCCCTGTGTGTATGCTGCGGTGAATTTTCAGCTTGTCCTTGCGAGAGAACTGCTTTGGGCAGAACTCGCAGTGGAACGGTTTCTCTCCTGTGTGGATCCTCTCATGGATCTGTAGCTTATCGCGGTGAATGAATTGCTTATCGCAGAAATGGCAGTGGTACAATTTTTCCCCTGTATGTAGCCGTTGATGAAGCTGGAGTGTGTTCCGGCGAGCAAACTGCTTTGGGCAAGAATCACACTGGAACTGCTTCACGGGTGGTTCTGTTTTGGGTATAATTGTTGGTATAATTTTGGGTGTGGGAGTGCTGTTGTTAAGAATAGGGGGCGTTGGGGCCGGTGTATTGGGTGTTGATGTTGGTGGGGGAGGTTTCTGGCAAACTGGTGGACTAGCTTGAGGAGGTTTCTCAATGGTCGGTGTGTGCATTCTATCATGGGTGGTAGTCTGAAGATAACAGTTCTGTGCAAACTGCTTTCCATAAATGTCCGGGTGGAATAGCTTCTGGTTTGTATGCATTAAGCCATGAGTTTGCAGATAGTAGCTTTGCATGAACTGGTTGCCATAGATCTCAGCATGGAATGGTTTGTCCCCCATATGGGCCATTCGGTGAGGCGCCATGGTGGGGGCCATTGGGGGAAACTGTGGTTTTCCGGGAATGTTACCATGGATGGTTGGTTCGCTTTGTGGAATTGTTTCCATGGTGTCAAAGAAAAAAACTCTTACCTTTTTTTAACACTTAAAGACGTCTTGAGATGGAGGAGGTTTTAAAAATGAAGAGGTGATAGCAAAGGTGTATTATACTTCCCCATAGAATCTTTATTCCTTTTTTAAAAATCGAAAGTCATCTGAAAAATAAAATGAGCAAATTTCAAATATAAATTTCCCAAATTTTCCTTACAAATGATAACATAGTTTGTCAAATGTGCATATTTATATAAAACTTTTAGAAAATGCAAAAATAAATGTTGTAAACAATATTCATATGTATTATTTTCATGTATGTCTGTATAAGGTTTTGTGTGAATCTTTTTGGCAAATGCACTGTAAACATTGTATTTTGTTTCATTTAGCTTAACATCCTTATCTTTGTTGTTTTTGTATCACAACATTTCAGCTTCTAGACTTCAGACACAGGTGAGAAAGGTCAGAAAGTAGAACAGCCAAAATATTGTGATAAAAATAGAACAGCAAAGTCAAAGAAAATAGTCTGAGTGAGATAAAAATACAGTTACTTTTCCAGGACTTTTTATGACATTCACACTCATTCTCTTGTAATAAAACAAGCTAAATTGAATTTAAAAGGTAAATAGCTTCTGTTAAATCTGTCATCTATTAGTGATCTATATTTTTTTTCGGCCAATATTTAACTCAATAAAATTATATTTACAACAAAATATAGTTTTGATATTCTGTGCAATAAATTTCCAATGCAATTTTTATACAATGATTTAGTTGGAGTTAAGTTCTTATCTTGAGGCTTATTTACAATCAGAATTTTTGGCCATTGTACCAAACAATGATAATTCTTCATTTCAAGAATTCCGACAATTTTTTTTATTTTAGTAATGTTCACGCATTAGAAGGCCCAAGGGCCACACAAAGTATAGGGTTACTGTGTGGGATTATATTAGAATAGGAAAATTACAGTGAATTGCTAAGACAAAGAATTAATGTATTTGACCGTTATGAATGTCACGCATACATATGAACACGCTAGGTTAATTCAAAATTTTTTACCACTATGTAAGGGAGGTAACTTAAATTATTAAAAACTAATTATGTGCTTTAAAACATTCTGTTACAATTGTAGATTTTTTACCAATTACAATTTAGATATTGTAAAACTTTGTTGTTATAAACATTTAAGAACTTTCTTACTATACTCATAATTAATTTTATTTATTGTTGGCTGTAATTTTTCATATAAAGGGCTTGTAAAATTTGAATATACATATTTCAAATTCTAAGTAGCAATAATCATTTTTTTTATTCAGGAATATGCTTTTTAAAAAAGATGTAAACATTTAATTTTAAAACAATGAAATTGGTTAAAACCAATAAAAAACAACTTAAAATTTACCCAAGAAAACCACATACACCTAAGTAAGGCTGAACAATGGACCAGCCAAAATGTTTTGCTCATTACAAAAAAGAACATGGCAATATTCATTGGCATGACTCATGAAATAGCAACAATAATGAAACATTAAATCGGGAATGTTTAAACACATTGTTTTTTTTTTGTGGGCATGAAGGTTAAACATTGGCCATTAATCATTTCTTGAAGAAATTTAATTATTTATGCACGAGACATAAACTTATACAAAAATATATTGACACTGAAATTAAAATGTTTGAATAAAGTCTCATTTTTACAATCAATTATGAATAAAAGAAAATAGATTATTATTTGTGATTTTAGATGAAATACAATCAATCAGCTGACATTATATATTTATTAAACACACACACACATTATATATATATATATATATATATATATATTCATTTTAAAAAAATATGATTCCATCATAACACAGAAATTACTGTTTCAAAACTTGTCCACAAGTGTTAAAGTTTAATTTAAAACATTTCTTTGGTAAGTTATTCCAAACATTGCTTGAGAATGAAACAGTCATCTAAAGTTAAGGTCTAATATTGAAATTAAACTTTAACATTTGTGAACCAGTTTTGAAACATAGTAATTTCTGTGTTACGATGGAATCATATTTTAAAAAAATAATTATAATTGTAAAGTCTACTTCTGTATCAAGCACTGTTTTAAAAATAAAAACAAAAATACTAAAGAACTTTGGATCATCAATCTGTTCTTTCCTATTACATCAATACACACACACACATTATATATATATATATATATATTGTGTATTGAGGCAGCAATCTTTCTTTCATGCAAGCTTCATTAAATATGACAGACAAGGTGCTTTAATTAATTTTTTTTATATAATTTCTCATACGAGCTTAGAAATTTTTTCTTTTCAGTAGATAAATTATACAAAAACTGTCCAAATGTTATACTTTTCTGAGTGCTTTCGGCTATAAATTTAGTCATTTTCAAGGATGAAATATATAAACAGTTAACTAGAAATAGATTATTGTATGTATGTATTTAGTATTAGAGAATGTTTTATTTTCAAAACAGTCAACATATTGTGTCCATGTTCATAGTTGATATTACTGAGTATTAGTTTTCTGTTTTTATTAATAAGGCTTCCATTATTTTTAGCCGTTTTTTAAAAACTTAATCCAAGCACCTTGTCTGTCATATTTAATGAAGCTTATATATATATATATATATATATATATATATATATATATACACACACACTTCATTTCTTAATAACAGCTATGCGTATCACTAATTGAAATATAATTATTATTATTAGGTATGCAGATGACAACACAGTGTATGGATTCACCTACAAATATCTGGATGACTAGTGCCTAGCAGCTGATCTCTTCTCTGACCTAACTCTTACATCTTAATGGGGGAGGGAGAGGGGGAACTGATTGGTATCATTCAATATGTCCAAAAATAAACAAGTAATATTTCATCACCAACAAACAGACTCTAAAGTTGCACTAATCCTGATGAGTGGCCATACCCTCAAAAGCCTACTTTCATGCCTTGAAAGCCGACTGGGTCCAAAGCTGACTCCCAACCTCCAGTGGAACGGGTATATTCATGCAATCGCAAAAGATGCTAGAAAAGGATTAGACCCTTGTATTGCCCCAGAAAATGCCTAACACCTGCTGCCATGATCTATGCAAATTAAGTGTTGCTGTTGTATCTGGGCTGGTGCTGCCCAATCCTAACTGTCCAGTGTTCAAAAGTGATTATGCAGCCTTGCCGGTGATGAATTATTCTCCACCCTGCAAACCTTATCCCACAGACAAAATGTTGCTAGCTTCTCACTATTCCATTGCTATTACTATGGCAAATGTTTGAAAGAGATATCTTTTAGTTCCACTAGCTAAAACCTTCTCAGCTAGGACCCCCCATGCCATGTTTACAGTGGCAAATCATCTGCATTCCCTTAGTGTGCTTTTGATCAGACACAAATTCCACTCAGCTTCTTCCCCAGAACTGTTACTTTCTGAAACAGACTCTTGAGAGGATGCTTCCCTAAAAAAAATTTGGACCTCTTAAGTTTAAGGTCAACTCATAGCTATCATATACGTCCTTATAATATACATTTTCCCTTCTTCCTCCCTCACAATAATCTAACTCAGTAATCTTCTAACCTGAGTGGCACTTAGACTTTATATTGGGTGAACAGTTAAAAAAATGTAAACTTTCTTAATAAATGTTTTATAATCATTTAACAATTATCTCATAAAAAACAACGTACAAGACATGATGTCACCATTTCTCAGCTTTTAAACCCTTCAAATAAAGCATCATTTAAATATAATGAATAAATAATCTTCTTTCTAAACTTTATTCTAATATTTAAAACTACAGAAACTATTAACAAATAAATTATTTATACAACTTTATAGGACATCAAATCAACGAAAGTGCTGATTTGACCCACTTCCCAAAATTTCACCAAATGACTGACCAAACATCAGTGAATAGCAGCTCTCATACTAAGGAATCAGAGAGCCAACTTAGTTTGACTTCAAGTCAAGTGCAAACAGCCTTGGAAAGATATGAACCTATCTCTTTTCCCCCAAAGCTATGGATAAATATCAGGACATACTGGACCCTATAACTGTGGCTAGCAAATCTAAATTCAAAAGCTGAGAAAAAAAGTTTGTTTGGGGATCTTGTGGCACTATGTGCACCAGTTCTCCGTATTCAGCTCTTCCAAAAAGTATGATTAGCTCTGCACAAGACTTCAGCACTATAATCAAATCATATGTACGAGTAGTCTAGCTGTCCAGTTATGAAAATTGGGTTGCTGTAAAAATAAATGACAGGAGAGTCCAGTGTGTGAAAACTGTCATTAGATATGGTATGCTTTTAACTAATTCAGCCACAAAGAGAGGAGACATCAATTAAGCAAGGTTCTATGCTGCTTTTTAAACATGTCCAACTCATTCATAATTGTTGAGTGTCATATGTGAAACATAAAAAGAGCAATTTCTGAAGAAGTAATGGATTTTTTATTTATTAATCCAATAAATTTTTATTACTTTCATGCAACACAATGGATCAAAGTTCAGGTATAAATTTTGATTCACTTCCTTGCAGGTTATGTTACTTTCTGAGTATCATGTGAAAATTGATTGATTTTTGTTTTTTGGGGTTTTTTTTTCACCCAGAGTTTTTTTCTTTCTTTTTTTTTTTATTCATATATAAGTAAATAAAAGATTATTAAATGTCGTGCCACAGATTCCAATTATTTATTATTTGAGAATTGCTGTCTTGGCAAAAATAATGGAGTGGTTTCCCATTATCTCCAACACAATTTCAAATTCACACTTTTCCTTCTCTTAGATTGGTTGCCAGTTAAGTCTAAGAGCCCAGTCTACCCTGCTATTTAACCCATGTCTTTCCCAAAGTCATTAGTATGAAATTGAATGTAACAGAGTAACCTAGAATTTCTGCAACAATATCCATTACACAATCCATTCAAATCAGGGAAAGTAATCAATAATTCATATTTAATAGCCACCTTCCTTGAAAAATTGTTTCCCCCCACCCACTTCAAGTGTAAATGCAGACCCCA